GCACCAGCACGCAGTGGGCCTCTGGGGATCACATGGCCTTGTGGTTGAGACCATGGCTCTGGAGTTACATGGCCTGCATTTGAGTTTGGTTCCAGTATTTGGGTGGACTCGGGCAAATTACTTAAGCTATATCCTAGTTTCCTCATCTTTAAAAGGGGTATGCTACCAGTACTAACCATTGTCAAGGTGAAATGAGGTGTTGCTTCCAAAGCACTCAGTATAGCTCCTGGACTGAGGTCGGGACTCTGAAACATTAGCTTTTATTGTCAGCAGCTGCAGGATAGGCAAGACGCAATCTCAGTCCTCCAGGAGCTTGTGGTCCATTAGATTCCCTGCTTATTAACTGCTGAGTCTTGATTTCTTCATCTGTATAATGGATTTAGTAAGGCCTACCTCCTGGGATAATTTTGAGAATGATGCGGCATAGAGTAGATGCTCTAAGTGTTTGTCGTTCTTTTGGTCGACTGGCACGGAGAGTGAAGGACGTAGGCTAGGTGCCTACAGGCTGGACAGGGATCAGCTAATGAGGATTAGGGTCTGCGGGAGGAAGAGATGGGCTGGAACACTTCACAGCAGAGAGGGTTGAGCTGGGGATTCAGTGGCAGAGGTGGCCGGGCTGAGAAGGGTGTTTCAGAGGTGGGTACAGATCTCAGCGGGGCCTGGTTTGGGACATTGGGAAGGGACCGCAGGCTCTGGGTTGGGAGAGGGTTGGATAAGTAGTGTGGGTGAGAGTGGGTCAAGCAGGCAGGATGCCTAAGTGGGGCTGGGCCTACTCCGATTACTCTCAGCATTCCTGCTCTTCTCTTCCTCTTGTAGATTCATCTATGAACTCGAGCACTTCAATGGCGTGGCTGAGCTGCTGGAAATCTTAGGAAGGTGATTATCCCTGGCCCTCCGCGGCAGCTTAGGATTTTGGAAGGAGGGATTGGGGCTGGGTCATCTGAGCCCTTCCCCTCTCTTCTGCCAATCCTCAGCATCATCAATGGCTTTGCGCTGCCCCTGAAGACGGAGCACAAACAGTTCCTGGTTCGCGTCCTGATTCCCCTGCACTCTGTCAAGTCGCTGTCTGTCTTTCATGCCCAGGTGAGGCCCAGCCCTGGCCCTGATGCAGCAGGACCTTCTGACAGCGTCAGAGCAGCCCGTGGGGCCTGGAGGTCATGGGATCCTATCCCACTTTATAATTCTTTTCCACCTACCTCAGAGAATTCTGGCCCTTTAAGGCTGACCTCAGACATCGGCTCTGTGAAGCTTCCCCAGCCCCTTCCCTTTCTACCCGCCCTAGGCAGAGTTAAACTCTCTTCCTTCTATATTCCCAAAGATTTTGATACAGAATTCTATTATGGGCCGGGCGCGGTGGCTCACGCCTGTAATCCTAGCTCTCTGGGAGGCCGAGGCGGGCGGATTGTTTGAGCTCAGGAGTTCGAAACCAGCCTGAGCAAGAGTGAGACCCCATCTCTACTAAAATTAGAAAGAAATTAATTGGACAACTAAAAATATATAGAAAAAATTAGCCGGGCATGGTGGCGCATGCCTGTAGTCCCAGCTACTCGGGAGGCTGAGGCAGTAAGATCGCTTGAGCCCAGGAGTTTGAGGTTGCTGGGAGCTAGGCTGACGCCACGGCCCTCTAGCCCAGGCAACACAGTGAGACTCTGTCTCCAAAAAAAAGAATTCTATTATGGAACCTTCTGTAAAATTTATAAGGATTAGTTTGCTGAATATTTCCTCCGTGAGATCATTGTATTCCCAGCACACCGATCCTGCGGCCTGGTACATCCTAGGCAGGCAGTAAATGCTTGGTGAGTAAGGGAGTGAGGCAGTAAGTGAGCAGTGTGGCATCCTGTCCTCGGAAGCCAGTCCTTGGCACCTGGTCGCCTCCTGACCCCTGTCTTCCTTCTCTCCACCCCTCACCCCTCGCAGTTGGCATACTGTGTGGTGCAGTTCCTGGAGAAGGATGCCACCTTGACAGAGCATGTGAGTACTTCTGGCGGGAGGTGGGCCCCTCACCTCTGCAGGTCTGACTCCTTTCTGCCTCAACCCCCACAGGTGATCCGGGGGCTGCTCAAATACTGGCCAAAAACCTGCACCCAGAAGGAGGTATGAAGGGCTTTGATGCCCACCAGAAGGAGGTTGGGAGGGCTCGGCTTCCAGAGGCAGTCAGGCGTGTGTGTGTTGGAGAGAGATGTGAGCTGCTGTCCCTCTGTCCCTGTTCCCTCCCCCACCCCACCCAGGTGATGTTTCTGGGGGAGATGGAAGAGATTCTTGATGTCATCGAGCCCTCCCAGTTCGTGAAGATCCAGGAGCCTCTCTTCAAGCAGGTGGCTCGCTGTGTTTCCAGCCCCCATTTCCAGGTGTGAGGTGGGACGTGTGGGGTGGGAGCAGGGGTATGGCCTGGGAGGGTTGGCCAGTCGACCTAGCCCAGCTCCCTCCGTCCTCAGTTTCTCCTCCAGTCCTGGGTCTGATAATGGGGAGATGTTGGACTTAGGACCAGGAGGCCTAGGGTCAAGCCTCAGATCTGCCTTCTGTTGAGGGGCCTTGGGCAAATCACTTTACCACTCCGGTTCTGATTAAGGTTCCTCATCTGTAAAATGGGCCAACAACAATCTCTGCACAGAGGGGTGATGAGGACTGAAGAGATTGTGCATGTAGACATGTTTGGTAAACTGAAGTGTGCTTCAGAGTAGGGTGGAGGATTGTGACCATTGCCCCCTTTTCTTAGTGGCCTTAGATTTCAGTAGATCCACTTTCGGAACCAGCCAGGCTTCCCCACATCTTCCCAGCTACTGTAACTCATGTTCTCCTGCATGCGTGCACAGACTTTCTCCATTCTTATGAGCCATGACCTCCTGGAAGTCAATTCTTCCTCACGGTGACCCTGGTACTTCAGTTTACTAAACACCTTAAAGTCCAGTGTCTCATTTGATTCTTACAACAGTCCTATGGAGGTAGGTATTATTAGCCCCATTTTACAGATGAGAAAAAACTGAGGCTGAAAGGTGAAATGCCTTTGTCCACGATCACTCAGACAGAGCAGAGTCTGCAGTGGAGCTACGATTTGCCCCTGAGCACTGCACTTCAAATCCAGTCCTCTTTTCTCTTCGCCACATTGCTTCCTCCAGTGGGTCAGATAAGCCCTGAGGGTGGGGTGTATGGAGGTCAGGGGGCCTAGGTTTTGGGTAGGGATGGATACCAGACCTTGCATACACACAGGAAGCCACTGCCAGGCTCACTGTGCCATTTCCTCTGCCCCAGGTTGCAGAGCGGGCTCTGTATTTCTGGAACAATGAGTATATCCTGAGCCTCATTGAGGACAACTGCCACACTGTGCTGCCTGCTGTGTTTGGGACCCTCTACCAAGTCTCCAAGGAGCACTGGAACCAGTGAGTCCCCAAGCCTTGACCTAACCCACAGAAACTGGGACCTGGGTCAGTCAATCTGGACCCCGGGGCTACTCCTAGCTGGAGAGGATCAGAGAAAGCATCAGAAGATGGCCGGGGGGGCGGTGAAAGGACAGAGAGGTGGGCAGTGCTGTGGCGTTCTGGGCTATGTGCTGTGTTTGAGGAGCAGGGATAGGCAGAATGCCGGCAAGAAGGGTGGGGCCAAACTGAAGTTGTTCTCATCTCCCCAACCCTCTCCCCTGACTCTGCCAAGAACCATCGTATCTCTGATCTACAATGTGCTCAAGACTTTCATGGAGATGAATGGAAAGCTGTTTGATGAACTCACAGCCTCCTACAAGCTGGAAAAGCAGCAGTGAGTGTGGTGGGGGGTTAGGTGTGGGGGAGAGGGAGACGAGCAGGAAGGAATCAGACCCTCATGGCTGGAGGGAACCCTAAAGGACCCCCGCCAAACCCTGTCTGATCAGATGTGAAAGTCTCTCCCCCGTTCCTGCCAAGTGCTGGGCCGTCCTGTGCCTGGCTGCCCACTTCATCCTCTAGTCGTTCTTCCAAGTAGTTCTTCCAGGCATCGACCTGTTCTGGCTCCCTGTAGCTTCCTACCCTTCAGCCAGGGGCCACTCAGAGCTAGGCTTGTTCATCTCCATGACTGCAGGCTGGGATAAGTCTGTCCTCAGCTCTCTTCCCTAAGCAGATGGTTCCTATGGAGTCCCAGAACAGAAAATGGTTCTGTGCCCCGCCTTTGCAGGTGGGCAGTGGTGAGGGAGGTTGGACTGTGGAGGGGCCCGGGCAGGGGAGCTGCCTCACCCTCTGTCCCCAGGGAGCAGCAGAAGGCCCGGGAGCGTCAGGAGCTGTGGCAAGGCCTGGAGGAGCTGCAGCTACGCCGGCTACAGGGAGCCCAGGGGACCAGGGAGGCCCCCCTCCAGCGGCTTACACCCCAGGTGGCAACCAGTGGGGGTCAGAGCTAGAGAGCCCCTCAGAAGGGGAGAAGCTAAACCCAGAGCCGCCAGTCCCTCCATCCCTTCTCCTGCCCAGGGGCCCAGAGAGACACACACCTCCCCCTGGCCTGGCCTGGCCAGAGTGGCTTCTGAGGACTCCCTGCCCAGCCTAGCTTTCACTGGGGGGAGACGAGGAGAGGAGATGGTGGTCTTAGTAACAGAACTCTCAGGCCTGTATGGCAGGACTTGACCAGGGCAAGCTTGACCAGGAAGCTGCCGTCAGGGATCTTCCCCTGCCCTGCAAAGCTGGGCTCCAGGCTGCAGGCAGGCTCCTACCCCCTGCTCCCAGCCTAGGGCAAGGACACTCAGCGCCTCACCTGCCCTTGCCTCGGGCCAGCTCGAGGTCCTTCCTCATCCCACCATGGGGTCCATGGTCTATTTATTCTCGCCCAGCTCACCCTCAACACAGATACTGTCCTGGGCCTGGGGCATCTTCCTTCCCTCCCCTCCCTCGCCCTGTACTTCCTTGTCCCCTTTTTATTTATTGGGCACGGGGAGGGGTGAGGGCACAGGCAAGAAAAGATTCACAGTGTCCTGGGGTAAGAGTCACAGTAATAATGGTCTATCCCCTTTCCCCTGGCTGGGGGGTAGACTTAATAAAGAAAGAAACTCAAGAACTGCTTGCTTTATTTAGGGGTAGGGGCAAAGAGGAAAGTGAAATGATAAAAGACTGGTTAGAAGGGCCAGGAAGAGGCAGAGCAAAGGCAGAATCTTCCCCCTTCCCAGAAGGTGACAATTGCAAAATCTTAAAAGGGTCAGAGTTGGAGAAACCCCTTCATTTAAAAAAATCCCATAGCAAGTAACTAGCAGAGTTGGAACTCCCAGTTTTTAAGTCCCAGACCCAGGTTTTTCCCACCAGAACATCAAGCCCTGTGACCCAGGGGAGGAAGGAGGGAAGAGGGTGGGCTAGTAGCGTGAGAGGCGACACATGTCACACTGGCAGGCCCTGGCCGTGAAGATCTCGAGCTCCTCCCTCCGGTTCCCCACACACTGCAGCTGCACCTTCACCTGTAGGAGAGGGGACTCTGTTCCAGGGCCCTGTCTCAGGGCCGTCTTGGATCCCCCTCTCCTTTGTTTTCCCCCACCAGACTTGGGCCCTCCTCACCTTCTTCAGGCTGCTGATGGTGCAGCACTGAGAGACGGAGGTGATGTTGTGTCGATAGCCACTGGCCACCAGCACAGAGTACCGGGAAGGGAAGGCACTGGACTCACAGTGGCCCACGCAGGCCTGTGCCACATGGGAGCCCTGGCAGGTGCCTTGGCGGTCACTTCGCACTGTCACGTTGAAGGCTAGAAGGAGATGGGCGAGTGGCAGACGGTGCCTCTGCAAAGGCTTGCCCCAGATCCTGTTGTTGGTGCCTCCATGCGGGTCTATGTAGAAGCTGCCTGCCCCACGGTCTGATCTATCAGCTCTTTGCTCCCACCCAGAACTTCCACTCCTCCTAGCTCTCTGGTCCCAGAGTTACTCACGGTGCATGTGGCAGCCTGGGATGGCTGTCTCCTGACCCCAGCTTTCAGGGATTGCCAGGACTAGCAGGCAGAAGAGCAGGGTTTGGGGGGACGCCATAGGCATCTGCAACACAGTGGGTAGATTCTGTGGGTGTGCAGGTGGGAAGGGGAATTCTTTAAATACTGCATGCCTCCAGGTGAGTGAGCCAGGGCTTAGTCTTTCTGACAGGTGAGGTGTATCTGAGTGTGTATGTGTGTGTGTCTGCCTGTGTCACTCTAGATGGATGTGTGTGTGAGCAGCTGTCTCCAGGTGGGACCTGTGTGTCAGCCCTCTGTGCGGTGATTCTCCCCTGGAATTCCCCTCACCATCTGGCACACGAACATCTTCCTCCCTCCATCTGCCCCGTCTTGGCCTGCAGGGCCCTCGTCCATATCCCCAGGCCCTCCCCAGAGCTCCTCCTGCCTCGGGGAGCTCACCACTTCCAAGGCCCAGGAGCAGAGTGGCTTGCAGTCTCCCTGTGCCTCCTGCTGGTCTGCAGACTGGTGCCGGCTCTCCAGACTTTTATATTTGCCAGCAGTTTTGGAGCCACGCCCTCTTGGAGATCTGCTTTCAGGCCGGCCTCCCAGTCTGAAGCCTCAGCACAATCCCACCTGGGAGATCCTGTTCTTTGAGGCGTGGTCCTCAGAGAGTAGCTTCTGCCGCTTTTGGCTTCTCTCTGTCCATAAAGCTGCCCTCAGTCCAGGGCTGGGGAAGCGAGATGTGAAGAAAAGCCCAGGAGTGGGTGGAGTATGCAGTGTGTGTGTACGGGGGTTGAGACTGCTGGCTAAATTGTGGCCACTTGGGTTCTATTCTTTGCTGTGTGACCTTGGGCAGGATGCTTCCCTATTCAGGGCCTCGCCAACCCAACCTTAAAACCACTAAATTCAGCCCTGCCTGTGTTTTTTACTGACTGCAGAGGAAAAGGACTGAGGAAGAAGTGTCTTATGGACAAGGGAAATTACACTGGGGTTGGGGGTCTCCTGAGGTGTGCTTGGTGGCAGAGCCAGGGAGGTTGGGGGGTTACTAAGTTTGTTTCAGAACTTTACTTCCACAGTGTCTAGTGGTTGACGTCTCATTCTGGGGGTCAGCTATAGAGTGGGGCTCTGAGCTGGACGGTCCTGCTAGTCTCTGGAATAACAGCGACCTGACTCCTTCCTGCAAGCCTGAAGCTGTCCACCCCAGGAAATCTGATGGTTTAGTCCAGCTCTGGTTTTACAGGTCAAGCAACTAAGACTTAGAGAAGGAAAGTTACTAAAAGTCACACAGCTAGTTAATGTCAGAACTGGTTTAGAACCCAAATCTCTGGCCAGGTGTAGTTGGTGGCTCACACCTATAATCCTAGCACTTTGGGAGGCCAAGGCAGAAGGATTGCTTGAGGCCAGGAGTTCAAGACCAGCCTGATCAAGAGTGAGACCCGCTCTCTACAAAAAACAGAAAAATTAGCCAGGTGTTGTGATCTGTGCCTATAGTCCCAGCTACTCAGGAGGCTGGCAGGAGGACTGTTTGAACCCAGGAGTTTGAGGTTGCAGTGAGCTACAATGACACCAACTATACTCCAGGCCAGGTGACAGAGTGAGACTCTGCCTCAAAACAAAACAAAACAAAACAAAAAAATAGAACCCAAATCTCCTACCATCCATCCATGGTACTAAATTATACTTGGGGCAAGAATGTGACAAGTTGGAAAAAGACCCCTGGCCAGCAGTAGCCAGAGAGGTTGGGGCAGAGTGGAGATCTGAAGGAAGCTGAGGTGATTCTGGACAGCTCCCCCCAGGGTCACTGCCTCACTGACCTGTCACACAGACTTCTAGAGCTAGAAGGCACTTTATAGGACAAATCCTACCCTCTCCATCTCCAGATGAGAAAATAAGAACGTGAGAGGAAAGCGGCTTTCCCAAAGTTTCAATGTAAGCTAGTCAGAGCCAGGATGAGCACTCAGATCTCCAGATTTTGGAGTTGTGCCTTTCAGCAGCTTTGTAAAGTAGGCCATGTTTGGGATAGTAGAGCGAAGGCTGTAAACACAGTTTGAGAGGAATTGGTGTTACCAATGTTGCTAAGTCTCAAATCCCCACACCCCACAGTTTCCCTCCAGTCCTTGCTCCCCTCAGGCCCTGGGTCCTCATTTGCTGGGGCACTGGAGTCCACCTCTTTTCCTCTCCCCAACAAAGGCTAAGGCAGTGAATTAAGGGGACTCAGCGGGACCTCAGCAGTCCAGCCCCCAATTTCCTACTCTTTAGGGAAACACTCTGGCATGTGACAGATAATCAGCTCTGTTTAACGCCTTTGGGTGATAAGGGCTGATTACCTCAGGACATAGCCCATTCTAACATTGGACATCTCTAACAGTTAAAAAGTGATTCCTATGTCCTGAGCTAAAATGAGTTTCCTTAAATTCCTATTGATTATTTTGGTCCTCTGAAGCTACACAAGTCTAAACTGTCTGTCAGCTCAGATCAGCTCTTCAGCTGAAGACAGAGCTCAGACGCCCAGGCCTTCTCCAGGGGCCCTAAGGACTGACTTCCAATTAATCTAATAAACTAAGCTGCGTTACTGTCAAAGAGCCAGACCAGAGGGATAGGTAGGTGGGAAGCATTTTACCTATGGAGAGGCTACCCTTTGGGGCCAATGTGGGTGAATTGAGGAATAGATTTCTTTTGGGTCAGCAGGACTCAGGACAGTGAGTCTTGCAAAACCCCATTCCCTAACCCCTGGCAGTGATGTTTAAGGGTTGAGGTCAGGTACAGACTCACCCACCCAAAGTGATCCAGTAAACGGCAACCAGGCAGACGTAGAGGAAGTTTCATGCATTGTTTCTCTGTGTCTTGAGGGACGAGTTTTCTCTCTTACTCTCTCTACTTCACTAAATTCAATCAATAACTCTTCATAAATAATTTATTGTTATTAGAATCCTAAGTGCTAGAGACAAAAGACCTAAACTGGCCCTCAGGGCCAGAGCATTTTAGAAAGTTTCATTCTTTTCTTAATATTTTAAATAGGAAACAAATTCAATTATAAAGGGGCAGAGAACAGGACAAACTCACAAGAGGACTCAGTTTGGTGCCCTCATTCCCCATGGCTGAAGTGTCATAAGAAAAGGATGGAGTTGGGGGAAGAATGGCTCGGGAGGAATCACTGCAAGAGATGATCCTCTTTCCGCGGCTGCATTTGGAAGGCTCACTATTGGCTGCTCTTCCTGAAGAAATATCGAAACGGGAAGAGAGAGCTGCAGGAATGAGAGCAGAGTAGTCTGAGATTCTACAAGGTCTCCTTCCCTTCTTCCCGATTCCCATTAGTGCTTCATTAGCTAGGGCATTTTTGCTCTGGGGAACCACTGAATGGAAATTCAAGTCTGGAACAGCATTTGAAAAGGTACCCAAATTAGATTATACTCAGGAGGAAGAAATAAAAAGGATTGCAATAGGATGGCTGAGCTCTAGACAGATAGAGGGACTTGCTATCTTCTGAAGACACAAAGCTAGATTCAGAGGGGAGAATGGAAATATTTTAGTAATCAAATCATCTGAATGACCCAAGTAAAATAAGAATAGTCTCTGTTTAAGCAATGTTTACAGAACCAGGCCCTTGCTGGGCATGCCAGGGTGGGGATGAGCTGTATAAAAATGAATATGACACAGTCTAAATTCACAATTAGGGCTTTTGTTCTCAATCTCATTTCCATCATCTATCCTGGACATCAGTGAGAAATCTCTGCAAGTAATCTGCTTTCTTCTCTATTCTAATTACCATGAGAGATTCGATGAGGCGAACTCTGGAACTAGAATGCCACTCTGGAGCTGGATCTCAGTTTGATGGCAGGAGAGAAGTTTGTCTTACCTTAGAAACCCAAAGAAACCACTGGTTCCTAGTTCTTTAGGTGGAGGTGGACTGCTCTGCTGCAATGGTGGGACAATTGGCCCTGCCAGGCTGTCCCCCAACTTAGAATCTGTAAGGAAAACACTCAGGCAGGAAAAAGTGTTAGTCCATAGGCTGCTTTTGTGTGAGTAGGAGAAGGCAGGACACTCAGCATGAAATAAGGGCAGCCTTATACCAAGATTACTTTAAAGCCAGGTGAATTGTTTGTTTTGACCTTCCCAATTTCCTCTCAGCTAAGTAAGATGCTATTCTGATCTTGGAGTACTCACTCAGGCTCCTGAGTTATTTACACAGCTCAAGTCCCAGCTACCCACCATGGCTGATAGATACGACTTCACATGGAATGACAACTTGAAGAACTCGTTTGCTTACATAACCCCTGCTTCTGTGATAACTACAGTTCCCATTGAATCCTCATGTTGGGTAAAAGATCAGCAAGGTAGAAGAGTAATACCTTGACTTGCATTCCCAGCCCTGCAGAACATCCATCTGCACCTTCAATGTTAATACTAATGCCCCAAGAAAAGAGGAGAGACAGCTTCCCAGAGATTGTTCTTCAACAGCACAAAAAAGGGAAGCACATCCCTCCAAACTTTTCTATAAAACTTATCACCCCAGTTGGAAATGTGTTGCAATCATGGGAGCATCAACTTCACCATAAGAAGCGGAGGACAGGCATGCATTGCCTCCTTTCACTCTTTTTGGCAGCTGGGAGGCTTCTATTACTGTAGGACAGACCCCTGGACCAGAAGATGGCCAACAAGCACCTCCACGGGAGCAAGGCACATTACCCTGAGTGTGTCCAGACTCAGAGCTCTCTGCTGTTCTGCTCACCAGAGAATTACACAGGACAGGGTGATTATTAAAGGAGAATAAATACAAATTTCCCAGAACCTACCCTCTTCTTGGACATCAGTGATATCAGAATCCAGGGTATCCTGCCATTCTTGCTGGATTTTTCTTTCCTTGTTCTGATTAAAAGAGGACCAAGGAGAGTCTTAAACTTTATTCCTACACAGCTTGGCGATCTGAATGCTATTTGCTGGTGAACTGATTTTATATCAGCACTGGGGCCTGGCTTCTGACTGTCCAGACAGGTTCTATATTTCTGTCTTTAGGACTGTCCTTTTTCCATTTCTCCTTCCTAATCACTATCCCTCTAAAATCATGAGATTTAAGAGCCAAGAACAAACCAAGCTGGGTTTAACTTACCATGTTACTGAGTGCCTACTATTGCCAAGGACAGAATATTGAGGTTCCAGAAACCAGGAGGACCTTAAATTTATCTTGGAGAAATGTATAATCCATGAGGTAAAATTGACATACAAATTAAATATTATACACAATGTGATAAGACTACCCCATGAGTCCATATACAGTGCTGTGGTTACTGAGGATATGAATGGAGTGGATAGTAGTTAGTCAAGGAAGGCTTCATAGGGAAGTGACATTTGAATGGGGCCTTGATGGATGAGTAGGATTTTGTCATAATGGGGGTGAGGAGATGGTCAATGAGAGCAGGGCATTCCAGACAGAGACATGATGGACGAGGGCACAGTGCCATTAAAGAGCAAATACGATTAGCATGGCTAGAGCCAGGCGCAGCAGAAACATGACTATGGCATTAGCAGTCAGCATAATACAGTGCAATCTTATTATTTCTCCATGTGCTACTGCTTTATAGAAATTCCTTTGTACTTTGAAGAGGACATTCTACAAGCTGGTTCCAGGCCCACAACATTTCCCAGTAAATACTGACAGTGAGAACCATAGTTCATATATTTTCTTTGGAAATCTCTGCTAACTGTCCACTCTCCTCACCCAGTCAGAACATATGGGCCTGAATATGCAGCCATGCTGGAGTTCCTTGAGCTGTTTTGCTGGTGAAGAATTCTATAGCAAGGGGCTGTGGCCTGGCAAGGTGGGTTCTGGGAGGCAAAGGCATGA